GCCCAGCGCCACCTTCTCCAACCCTCCCTTGGTTCCTGTTCCTCTCAACAGAATTTCAACAACCCTTAATTGTTGTTTTCGCCTCCAGGCTTATACTCCCCACTGAGTAAAGTATCTCAAATGAAGATCTGGCCCAGACGCCTCTCTGCTTGGATTCCTTCTCAGTCACAATAAATCCCAAGCTCTCTGGAGTCCCCACATGACTCGGCTCTCTCCTCGTCGCTCACCTTCTTGCCTCCTCACACTTGAAGGGCAGTGGGCTGCCGCGCTTCCCCGCACGTGCCTGCTGTGTTGTACTCTGCACTTGGCCTTTGTTATTCCCTCTGCCTCCCCCTTCCTCTTTTGTTCAGAATTCAGGTTCACTCAAGTGTCATTTATACGGGCATTGTCCAGTGGAACTTTCTGTAATCACGGAAATACACCGCGTCATTCTGTAAACCACGTTATCCCCTGTAATCTGCATTGTTCACTGGACACAAGCTGCTACTGACCGTGTGAAATGTGGCCACTGTGATGGAAGAATGAATTTCTGATTTTATCTCATTTTGTTTTACCGGGATTTAAATGTGTACAGCCCCATGCATATGAATTCTACGTGCTCAGTTCTTGGGTTCTTGTGGCGGTATTTGTAGGCATTGTACGGTAAAAGAATTCCTACAGATCAGTGAGAGAAAACAGACGCTGGATAATTTTAAAGTGAACTTGACACAAGGACAGATTTGCAAAGTACGGGGGAATCTAGCCCATCCAGGGAGTTGGGTTAGTCACTAGGGCACAGGAACAGAGCACCCACGTTGGGAAGCTTAAGCCGCAGGAATATGTGCGGTCACTGTTCTGGAAACTAGAACTTCAGGGATAATTGGTGGCAGGGGTGGTCTCACCTGAGGCCTCTGTCCATGGCTTGTTGAAGGCCGTCTATTGGGTGAGTTCACATGGTCATCTCTGTAGATGTTTTTGTAAGGGCACCAGTCATGCTGGCCCTCCTATGATCACATTTAATTACCTCTTTAAATAAAGGACCATCTGCAACTCTCCAGAAATATTCACATTAGGGCTTTGGCTTTTCTTTATTTTTTTATTTTTTTTATTTTATTTTTTTACTTTTTGCTGAGGACACAATTCAATCTGTAGCGCGAGTCAAGTAAGATTTCCCTGAATGAGCAAAATTTGAAGAGTGAGTAGGAGTTTGCCGGTGAAGACCAGGCTCAGGAGGGTTCCACAGGGACGAAGGAGGCAGGGAAGCTGGAGTTACAGGAAAGGCTGGGCCCCTTAGCAACAGAAGGAGTGGAAGATGAAGAGAGCAAGGAGACAAAGGTCCCACCGGAGTGAGGAGAGGCCAGGCCAAAGGAGGCCTTGGACGCCACCATGAGGAATTTCCAAGAGACCTGTGGGAATCCTTTACTCAGACCAGGAACATGATCAGATTTGTGCTATACAGAAGTGCCTCGAGCCAAGGTCAGAGTGGTGACTGCGTTGGGAAACAAAGGGGAGCCCAGAAAACTGGGAGGAGGCCACAGAACTGCAGGGAGGGAGCAGAGATCTGAGCTTGTTTTTTTTTTTTTTTTTAAATGTATTTAGTACAAGGTCTACAGGGTCTCACTACATAGATTGGACTCATAGTGATTCTCTTGTTTTCAGCCTCCCAAGCACTGGGATTGCAGGCACAGGCCACCAAGCCCAGTCTCAATAGCTATCTTAGCATGCCCTGGGGGCCGGGCTGGCTCGGCAAGGCAGGGATCAAACCCCAGCCGCTGTGCTTTGCCTAAGCAAGTGTTTTAGTCTGCTGAGCTATTGTAGCAGATGGAGTGGTCACAAGGCAGAGGTGTCAGATGTCTTTAGGAGCCACCCTGACAGGCTTTAGCCTTTGAATCTGTGAGGACAGGAGGAAGAGAAAGATGGGCTGAGTCCTGAGAGCTGAATGACATTTGCCGAGACAGAAGGGGTGCGCAGCCCGGACAGACTCAGAGGGATGGTGGCTATATTAAGTTTGGTGACCTCTAGTGTCCTAGAAAAAGTGTTCACAGGGCATTGACTGCACAGTGTGAGCTGAGGAGAAGCACACCCAAACTTGAGGACATAAGACAGCTGGGACCTTAAAAAATGGAAAAGTACTTAGCAATCAAACACTATCCAAAGGAAAGTAGATATTAAATATTAATATCAGACAAAATAAACAGTAAGGCAGAGGCCATAATTGCTTCTTGACTTTATTTAGGTTTAACTGACAAATACAGTTGTATACATTTTGGCATGCCGTGTGATAGTTTAGTTTATGCATATGTTGGGAAGTGACTAAATCTAAGTAATCTACCTGTCAGTTCTCATACTAACCTTTTCTTTGGGACAAGAATATTTAAGATCCATTCTCTTAACAATTTTCAAGTATGATAGTCCTTGCTATTCTTACAGTTTGACTTTTGTGAACTCACTATTTCATGGGTTTTCAAAAACTATTAAATTATCAAGGATTTTTTGCTATATTGTGGGATTTTGCAGTACTGTACAATGTAAGTATGTTCTTAAAATTACATAAGCTTATGAGACTAGAAAATGGTTAGCATTAGAAGTGTTTTTAAAAGTGTGGGAAAGGTTTATAAGAGTGTGGGAAGGATTTATAAAGCCCTAACATATATATAAATACTAAAATATAATGCCCCTGCTTTGCTGATTTTCACTTACTGGGGCAGTTTCTGAACATAACATCTGTGATAAGTGAGGGACCACCGTATACAGCATGCTATTATTAACCAGCCCCACACTGTACAATAAAGCTTCGGAACTCATTCCTCCTGTTTGACCATAACTCTATAGTTTATGACCAACATGTTCTTTGCTCCAGGCTCCAGGCTCTGGTAGCCACCACTCTTCATTACTTCAAGGCGTTCTTCACTTCTGAGTTTGAGTGAGATCACACAGTGATTGCCTTTTGGTGTATGGCTTTTTTCAGTTAGCGTAGTGCCCTCTGAGCTCATTGATGTTCCAAATGGTGTGATTTTTCTTTCTTTTTAAGAGTGTG